GTTAGAGTCATCCAAGCCATTATATTCCCCATCACCATGTACAGATGTAAGAGCTGGACAATGAAGAAAGCAGTTAGGAAGTAAATCAATTCATTTGAGATGTGGTGCTGGAGAAGAGTGCTGAGGATACTATGGACGGCCAAAACGACAAACAAATAGGTCTTTGAACAGATCTGGCCTGAACTCTCCCTGGAAACCTGGATGAATAAATTGAGGCTGTCATACTTTGGCTACATCAGGAAAGGAATGAATCATTAGAAAAGACAATAATGCTAGGAAAGGTAGAAGATAGTAGAAAGAGCGGAAGACTGCACACCAGGAGCCTAGACTCATGCCCTGTACAGACTGGCCAAAAGGGCCAGCCTGGGGGTAGAGTCAGGGTGTGGCGACTGCACACTGGCCACCCCAACTCTGCCCCGATGCCGCCATCACGCTGCATGCCCCACCACATGGCAGGCGGCATCGTGGAGCTCCCTTGGTGCAGCATATAGATACACTGTGCCAAAAGAGTGCAGAAAAGCTGCTGCCACCACGATAAGGGCTGCTTTTTGCTGCTCCAAAAAAGGAGTGGCATTTGCCAGCTCTTTTTGGAGCAGCAACATGCCAGATCGGGGCTGCGGCATGCAGTTGCCACGGCCTCGATCCAGCACTCCTGGGTGGCACGAAGCCGCCCCTTAGGGGCCGCCTGTAGAGCCTCTCAATCAGGTAGGTCTTGGGCCTGAATCTACAAGACCCAAGCAGAGCAGTGGATGATATGGGACCGTGAAGATGTCTCATACACAGGATCACCAAGAGTCGAGGCAGTGGTGTCACTAGGAGGTGGAGGGGGTGACACCCAGTTGTCAAATCCTGGGCTTCCATAACATACAGCCATGACAGTTAAAGTAGTATCAAACTGCATTATTTCTCCGGTCCAGATGCAGCCCTACTCCAACACTCAAACCACTACATCACTCTGGTTCTATTCTATTACATTGGGGTTTAAGAGGACAAAAAGGTCAGTTGAGCTAAGGATGGGCACCTGGCTGTCAGACCAGGGAACAGGAGGTGATCCATTCTACGAAAAAGCTATGGCAGTTGGAAGTGGGTTGAGAGATGGGACAGCTAAGGAGACAAAAAGAAAGCAGATGGTTTTTTTCTTAAAAAAAAGTGTCCCTAAGGCTCTAGGCTGGGGTAGTCTACTGCTGGTAAGGAAGCAGCCTGAAGAGGTGAAGGGGACTGGATTTCCCATTGCTTCACAATCACCAGCCACAACTTTGGCTGCCGATCTCTTGCATATTAGCCATGAAATGCCTTGCTTTCCCCTCAAATTGCTTTTCAATATTGTTGCACTCCATCCAAAGCTTTTGCTGTTTGCCAAGTTTTTTAAAATAATAAATCTAAAGGAATGCACACACACACACACACACACACATATCTGTTGATTAGTTTAGGTAGGTTTCCAGGCAAAGTTACAGCAGGCCAGAGTTTGGTTTCTGCTGCTGTGTAAACGCCATGGGTTTGGCATAACGTTGCCCCGGGGCCCCCTTCCCACCTCCATCCTGGCTGCTGTGACCTAGACAGAACCCTGTGGCGTTGACCTTTTCACATCTAGAAGGGATGTAGGTGGGAGGAGAGGGAAGGGGGAGAGAAGGAATGGAAGGGATGGAAGTGCCCCCCTGCTGGTCTTTCTTACAAGGGGGACATTTCCTGCATGGATGGGCTTTTAAGCAGGAAAAAGGGGCTAAAATTGTCTTGATGCCTCTGATGGCAGCTGGTCCCTGTGGTCTTAAAAAGAGAAAGAGAGAGAGAGAGAGAGACTGTATATTCTGGGGCTCTTTTCCAACAATAGTTTAGTTGTCCAGAGTCATGAAAAGCCAAGAAAGAAAGAGAATGATGGAAGGAGACGCTCAAATCTCTCCAATAGAAGACTGTAAAATGGTTTTACACCAAAGCAGTTTAGTTGTCTGTATTTATATCTGTATCTGTCTAATAAATTCATGGATGGCAGAATCCTGGACCAAGCTGTACTACAAAGCATTTATAATTTGTCTTTCCTAACGCCCCCCCCCCTTTCGTCGCTGCAACCTCATGCGGTTGCCATATGAGTACGGAAGTTCTGCTTTCGGTATATTTGTTCCCCTGGGTTTAGGAATGGAGATTTTATTGCTACTAATAAATATATGATTACATTGTAGCACAACACCCCCCTCCTTTTCTTTCTTTCTCTCTATTTCTCTCTCAAGCCCACCCCCATCCCTGCCAGCTAGCAGCCAATGTACATTATTCCTATTTATAGAACTGAAACTGGACTTCAGCAAAAAGGCGAGTCACTGTAGATAGATCGCATCCCTTTCTTTAGAGACAGACACACTGAACCCTGAGAATTTTAATTTTTAGATCCACTTTAAATCTCTAGCTGCAAAAGCCCCCTGAGTTCTTTAAAAGAAAGAAGCCAACAGCCACACCAATTTTCTTTAGTTAATGGGATGTTACTGTAGTTGTTTTTGCAAAAGAGTGAGATTCTAGCCCATATTTTCCCCTACCTTCATTTTAGGCTGAGGGTCTCCCTGATCTTGATATCCAAATATTTTTAGGATACTGGTATTTGGACCTTTAGAGCAAGCATGGTATAGTGCTGGACTATGACTATGGAGAACAGCGTTCGAATTCTGGCTTGGCCACGTAACCCCCCTGCATGACTTTGGGCAAGTCACACTCTCTCTGTCTCAGAGGATGGCAGTGCCAAGCCCCTTCTGAAGAAACTTGCCAAGAAAACCCCATGATAGGTTCATCACCTTAGGGTCACCATAAGTCAGAAACAACTTGAAGGCACACAACAACAACAACAACATTTGAACCTTTGGATTCAAGAACTGGGCTGCTTTAATGGGAAGTGACTAGGCATGTCCATAATCAGACCTGCTCACAGAGGTGTCTACCTGATGCTTCAAATGGCAAGCTTGGGTGTGTGGTTTACTCAGAGATAGACTTTCCATCATATCAAGTGTATTGATTTGCAAATGATGTGCAAATAATAACTCCCAGCTTGACATCACAAGTAGCATGGTGGGGGGGAGGGAGTACTGGAATTGATGGGGGAGGAAGTAGGGAGGAACAATACAAGG